TTAGCCTAACTCAAAATTGATATTTAGTTCAAAAGGTAAAAAAATATATATTAATACTAAGAGGAGGGACTGACTTCCCGGAATAAGGGTTTCAACAATGAAAAGCAATGGACAGCATATGAGAAGTTTTGGAAAATTTAAATCACCGGATGCTTTACCTTATAAAACCAGGAATCTAATCTGGGTCCCATACATTCAAGACAATGACTTTAACTACTAACCACGTCTCCAAATTAAACTTTTGACATATTCTGTAATGACCAGAAAACCAAAGACCTGAAATTCAACCAAAACAAGGAGAGACCTTTAAACCGTTTATTGGAATATGAAACTGCCACTGGTTGATTCATCAGAGTAAGCAACTTGAACTTCTGGAAGGAGATTGGACATTTTATGACCAGGCAAAAACAGAGGGAAATGGGACAGAGGGACCAGCTTTCTGAAGATGCCGGTTTGGAGTGGGACATCACTGGTGGACCTCAGAGGATTCCTCAATCTGTCAAGGCTGATTTGGAGGAATCCTTCTTTGACAGTTAATCGTTGGTCCAGGGGAATGCAGATCAGTGAGAGCAGAGACAGGCACAATGAGCAAGAGGACAAAACTTTAGACTTTCGACAGATTTGTCATTTTGTTAACACAACTGTAAAACAAAAAGAAATTTCGTTTGGAAACAGCTCACTGGACAATTTCATCTTTTTAAAAGTGCAGCCTTGTAAAATGGGAAAAATGACTGTAAATTTACAGTTCTAAATTTTTTTTTTAAATAGAGTATGGAATCTGAGAGCAAGGTCAGAGTCAGTGCCAGGGGATACAAGATTCAGAGACAATCCAGGGGAGAATCCGAGAGTTAGGTCTGGGCACAGAAAACAGGTTAGAGATCCAAAACCAGACTATGGCAGGTCGGATAGGGTTTAGGAAGGCTCAGAGAATCAGGCGGCAGAATCGGGTAAGAATTAGGCAGGTAAGCGGACAGGAATGCTGGAAAACACCTGTCTGATGGCTTGTAATAATCTGGCACTAGTGACTGGTCTGAGAGCTGGTTATATAGTCAGGTAAGCAAGTGAATCTGATGAAGGCATATTGGAAACAGGGCAGAGGTGACAGGTGTGTTGAATTCTGATTCAAAACAGAACTAGTGCCAGGAATCATGACACGAAAGTTAACGATAAGAATAAAACTAAATGCTCATCATGATGTCATGATGTTTTTAAGAGATCTGACCCACATGCAGGAAACCACTCAGAGAACCAGAGTAAAAGTTTAACAGGTTTATTGAAATAATCAATCCAGGTGATCCAGGGTAACTTAGAGAGCTGGTGAACCAGAACTGGAAGTGAGAAGGGAAGTTCAGAGGTTAGTTCAGGGTCCGTGGGAACTTTGAACAACGTCTTGCAAAAATCAGAGATGAACGGGACTCACGTTAGTAGAAAAAGGTTCTCTTCTCAGAATCCAGTCGGTGTGGGTTTTATCCAGAGATTGGGGGGCTCGTTGAAAGGTGGACAGGTTCTTGGTTTGGTTGGTTGGTTCCTTGAGGAGCTATGGAGCAGACTGCCACTTAGATTTCCAGGAGAACTTGAATGAGTCGTGTTGAGATTAATCCCCTGTGTAGCTCAAAACAATCCTTCCAGGGGGAGAAGGCCAAAAAATCCAGTTTGCAGGATGACTTCCCAAAACTGGCAAACACTCTGGCGACGAGGTAGTGGCAGTCCACCGCTTAAGAGTCCTCCGTAATGAGCACAACCAGCTGCAGGTGTGTGGGAGGACCAACGAGACCAGGGCGCCAACTGGTGGTGGAGGGAGAGAACACAAAAAACAAACAGCCCACACACACTGGATTCCTAACACATGACAGTTCTATTTGCCAGACTATTCCTCTTATTTGAAATTTATTTATTGTTCAACATTATTTAAGAACCAATTCTTTAACAATAACAATTACTACTTTGTTAAGATTAACTTTTTTTTCTTTTTTTTAAAGTGTATATCTGTGTACTAGTTTTTACTGTAACACCTGTGTCTGCAGTGGTCTCTAAAAGTTAAAAATCTCAGATGACCTGCATCGGATCAAATGAGATGTAATTTACTTTGACTTTGTCTGATTAGATTGAATTCACTTAATATTTATTTATGGTTGTTGTAAATTTCCATGAAAATAAACAGCAAGTATGTTATTTTCATGGAAATAAAAAAATCCACTATACAAGGCTTTGTCTTGATCCAGATGGTTTGATTACTAAAAAATTCTGTCATTGTCCCTGAAATGTTTTTCCACATCTCCCAGCTTTTTACATTTTTCTTATAAATATCTTAAAGATTTTACAGACCACTGCTACAGATGAAGCCTCTGCCCTGTTCCTGTCCTGTCTGTCTTTGTTCTATATGTAAAAAATGAGGGACCTCTTCCAGCTGGACAGAAGTAGGTCTCAGGAGGAGTAGGGGAGTAGCAAAGGGTGAGTAGGGATGAGATAGATCTGGCCAGAGGAGATACAGTCTGATGGATGGCCAACAAATGGAGCGAGAAGAGTGAGGAATGAGAAAAGAGAGAGACAGAGGGATGATTGGGAACCATTATTCCATTTCCGTCTTGTCTGGCTTCTACATGATGAAGGTCATTATTCACATACAGAGTATAGCTAACTGTACAGCTCACAGCCTTCCCACCCTTTTTTGGCATATTTTGTGTGTTCACCTTTTCTGTTTCTGTCTCATTCATTATGTGTTCAATGTAAACTGTACAGGTAAATCAAACCTAATATAAAGCATTTGACATTTAACATGTCAAAATGGTTTCTCAAATGGTTTCCCAATGCAAAGCCATATAGCTGGCTTTACATTCACTCATCTGCCCTCTGAATTTAAAAAACATCATATTCTTAACCCATTTGTGTTGAATATAATGTTGGCCATAAGCTTAAATTCTTCTGTAAAGGTAATGAGAATAGAGTAGCATTCTCTTTTGAATTGATGCTGTCCAAAGATGAAAAAAAGTATAATTCTTAGTTTGGTTAACTTTCAAACACTCAAACGACATTAATTAATTGATTCAAGTTTAAGCACAACTATTTTTCTGTTTTAATGTAATTTAATCATCCATTTTCACTACACCCTCAACTCAATACCATCTAATGATTGGGCTCAGCTGTAACATTTCAGAAGCTGATTTGCTCAAAAACGTGTGTGTAATTGGAAAACAAGCACACTGGGGTGGGAGGTCTTTTTCAATTAAACCCAATAAAGCACACTTGGTTGACCAGAAAAACACTAATAAGTTATTGGAGCTGCTTCTAAAAATATGCAGTGTTTACTGCATTCTGTGTCTGTTACAAATAGAGACGTGCAGCGTTTCTGTAAGCTTACCATTCTGTTATCAATGATGAAGCCGCAAAACGTTTGTTTGATATTAGGCTGAAGAAACTGTCTGTGTCACATTTGTGCATATGACATTTCAGCATACTTAATCTCATTAAATAGAGTGAGTTATCAAGTGAAACATTAGGCAATCATTTAGTGCTGTTCCACTAAAAATAAGCCAAAGTCTTTGTTTTAGCATCAGCTCAGTCAGAATATTAGTGAATGAATTAGATACGTGAGTGAGTCACTAATAATGAGAGTTGAGGGGACGGGGATAGTTGTGTTTTCAGGTCTTATAACAGGTTTAGACTTCTTGATATCTAAATTAGGTTCAAGGAAATGATGCATACATAGAAATGTTTTAACATCAAGCCATTGTAGGTGTGCGATGAATAAAATACAAAAAAATTATAAAAAAGACAAATCAAAATAGAGCTATCAGACAAAATCTTAAGAGAAAGAACACAACAGTGAGGTGAAAACATGTCCCTAATTTAAATCTAATTCTCTAATTCAACATCTGTTTTCCTTTTTATACCCACAAGCTTTTAAACCTTAAGCCTACTAATGAGTCAAGCTGCTGCATGTGGAATAATTGTGTAATTAAATTTGTTTTGCACAGGAGCAAATTATTTTCTAACAGGATTTTTAGCAGATAGGTCAGAAAAAGTATCTTTGGTTTGCTTGAGCTGAACAAATAAAAAAATCCTAGCTGTCTGTATAATGATGTGTTTGTATTTAGGTTTCCTGTCTCAATTTGCACTGCAGTTAATCATTTTGTTTGATATTTTGGCATTTTTATGCCTCCATACTCATATTCGTCAGCTTCCACTTCCTTGGGAATGGGTCGCGGGGGACAGCAGTTTTAGCAGAGACTCCCCCCTCTCCCCAGGCCCTACTCAAGCTCTGTTGGCAGCTGAGAGTCATAGTCCTTCTATTGTGTCCTGCGCTGTCCCCTGGGCCTTCTCGTGGTCGGACATACCTGGAACACCTCCAAAGGGAGGCATCCGGGGGGCACCCGAATAAGATGTCCAAGCAACCTCAGCTGGTTCCTCATATGGGAGAGTATCGGCTCTGTTCAGAGCCTTGCCTGGATGGAGCTTCTCACCCTAACTCAAGCCACCACTTTAACTTGGTGGGGGGGTCTCGGTGCTCAAATGATCCCAGAAGCTATGTTATCAAGGCTTAAATTACTCTGGTAGGGTCTCCTAAGCCAATTAGGCTCATGTTGCCCTTATGATGATAAAGAAGCCCTTATGATGGACACAAAATTGAGGCAGGCGATGTTGCCCAGTACAGTGGAGCCAGGGACCTCACCCTGGAGCTAGGTCTGGGGTTTGGCTTTCCTCCTCATAAGATACGGCTGGGCCAAGTCTAATTCTTTTCCCCATTGAACCCAACACCTGGAGGGGGAAACCATGAGGGACTGATGCAAATAGGATTTGATAGTCTTCAGAGGCGGAGGCCTCTGTGACCTGATCCACGGATGCTTGTTCCATCCTAACTTAACATAACCATAGAATCCTTCATATGAATTAAGCTATAGCAAAAACATAGTTTCTGTTAAAAAAAATAAACAAAAACATCATCGTTAGGTTCTATACATTTTTATGATTGACATAGAATACCTTTTTTTATTCTGTTTCAGCTGCATCCAGGTGAAGCCTTCACAGTCTATCACACCAGTCCTACACTGTCCTGCCTGTCCAAACCTGTGGTGCTGTGGACTCAGCAGGATGTGTGCAAGTGGCTGAAGAAACACTGTCCTCACAACTACCTGACCTACGTAGAGGCCTTCTCCCATCACGCCATCACAGGTACAGCAATCAACAAAAAGCACCCTTAACGGATTGTGTGGAAGTTAGGGTTGGTATGAGATTTTCATGGTTTTTGTAATGAGAGGGAAAATGCAATGGTTTATCATATAGCGCTGATTCAGTGGCGGCTGGTGGAGTTTTCTCCGGCGGGGGGGCAATAAATTCAAAGTAGATGTATACCAAAAACCTATCAAACGTATACTAAGTCATCAGACCAGTATACTTCTATGAATGCCAACAACAAAAACATTATAAAAACACTTTATAAAAACTAAACATAATTTCATCTACGGGGTTACTTTTTGTACATACATTTTGCCCTTCTGAGTCTTTGTGAAGGCAAATCTGTGTTTTGCATGGTCCAATATACTGTCACAAACCTAAAAAAATAATGTACCAGTTTAAGAATGGAGAAGCTCTAAGTGAGCTTTATATTTTTTAATACATAAAAAGTATTTATTTTCTCAGAATGTGTTTATTTAATAGCAACTATGCAAATGAACTAACATCTAGAAAAAGTACATTATATTATATTATTTTCCATGGGAATCCCAGATTGTTCATGCTTCTTTGACTTTTCTAAAAACTACTTTAGATCAGTCCTACCTGTCTTAATCCATGCTGGGTCAGATCCTGACATCTGAAAAAGGATGCTGGGAAAGCAGAATAAAGTGTTAGCCTCCCTGCATGCAGTTAGCCAAGTCTTGTAGCTAAACCAGGTCCTAGAAAAAGACAAGTCTCCGGCTGATCAGGTCCAAATGATTTCACCTCCAGCTTCTCTTGGTAAGTTTGCTTTAAGGGACTTACCTTCCACGACTCGACCGGTCAATCAGCAGCACTACAACTGTGACGACAGTTTCTGTCACCTCAGGGCACAGCTCTCGTGCGCCCGAGCTCTCCTATGCCTTTGTATTGCAGTACAACTTTTAATGAGAGTCTAGGGCGGAAATACGTAATGAATCCGATTAAAAATGAAACAGCTTTATTCGTCATTAAATATTTATTTTGCACATCTAAAAGATATATATCAATATACTTTGAAATATTAAAATTTTTATTTGTAGTTTTTATGTATGTCTTAATCAAGGTCATTGAGTGGGTGGGGCGTTCCCTAGGGCGTTCTATTGGCCAGCTGCCACTGGGCTTCAGCTATGAATTAGTTTTCAATTTGATTATCCTCAAAAGATACTTTTTCTAAATTGACATTCCTCAATAAATAAAAGTGAAATACAAAACTAAACATGAATTGCATATTTTCAATTAATTGTAAGTGGAAAACACAACTATGGAGGACCAGCTCTACCATGTTTAAAAATAAATACAGAAGAAAAAAAAGATTCTCAATAAAGCATTTAATGCATCGATAAAGCATGCTCCTGTTTTTCTACAGAAATGCAAAAACAACAGGCAGAAATAAATAGCATTGAGAAAATAAACAGGGTAAAAAAATACAAAGGAAGAATAAAACAGACAAAAATATTATAACATGCACATAAATAAATACTTAAAAATAAGTAATTAATTAATAAATTTGAAGCTTATAACGGACAATAAATAAATAAGGTATTTATTACAAAGCCAAATAAAGACGCTAATTAAGAGATATATAAATTTATGTCTCACTGTATAATTTAATTTCTGCCTACATTTATTTCATTTTTCAGGGCAATTAATTGTATGCTTTTTTATTTACTGAGCATTTATTCATTTCTGTATTTATTTTTAAATACGGTAGAGCTAGTTCTCCATACAGTACACAACAGCAAAATTCAACTCTAAAATGTATTTTCCAGATGCCACACTGTAGTAAATATAATCACAGCAAGCTGAATTAAAAATCAATTCACTTAGGACAGTGATTTTTGATTTTGATTTACTGAAACACCTCCCTATAATAATACATTTGCAAGTACATATGTGTATATTAGCAATTGCACACACTTGATCATTTACTGACTTTTGTATATTAACTGAGGCAGTCAGAAGATAATGACTAAATAATACTTATTTAGCTCCTATTTAAGTCGGAGGGTCCAAAGTACTTTAAACTATGTTCAATCATTTATGCACTGATGGTTGACAGTTACATTGTAGCCAGAGCTGCCCTGGGGCACGCTTACAGAAGCAAGGCTGCAGTACAACAAAGCACTCTGACCACCATCACTAGGAAATGGAGGTGAGGTGTTACCCAAGAATACAAAAACTGAGATGGAGTCGGGGTTTGACCTTCCTGAATCCTTCCCTCACTACTGTTGCCCCAAATGCATCAAAATTAGCAGCAAATATAGCTTTTCTGCGCTCATTACATAACCTGTGCAAATATATAGATGCCAAAAAACAAAACTAAAAGTGAATTAATTTTAACAGTTGTTAAATCCATTAGAGGATTTTTTTTTTTCTAACTTGCTCATGTATCACTGGTTATCATAGTGACATCTGCTCATGCTCCTTGGAGCACCTCTGGAATTCACACCCCAGTGGAGCAGAGAGGAGCGAATGTAGTGCAAATTTGAAGGGTGAGAAGTTGGTAGTGGTGAGGAGCATAGCAGAACCAGACACAATGCAATTTAAGGGTTAGGTAGCTCTTCTGCTGTCAGCCACTCGCTATGCTAGCTGTTCTAAGTGTAGTTTCAAGCTTCATTTCAATTATGCGTTTTTCTTCTTTATTTTCAATGCCATATAGCAAGTGTTGTGTTTTTAAGGATTGGAAAATATTTCCAAACAGTTTTAAACCAGCTCACTCAGAGCGCAGAGCTGCAGGTGAGTTAGGGGTTGCACTTCATTACTTTATGTTCCGTTCTCTTCTACATACACAGATTTCTGTTGGATTTATGTAATTAGCTGTCGTCTAATTTGTCGTAATTAACTTCTAATATCAGTATTCAAGATTAGTTTTTACTTTTCAGTGGTCTGTAAAGAAAATATCAGATTTTTCCCTTGGACCAATAGATTTTTTTCAAAATACAAAATAGTTTAGAGTTTCTGTTTTACCAGGGTTTACAAAAATATGCATTAAAAATGCTATCACTTAGATAAAATTTTAGGTTATGTAGCTTAGCATTCTCAGGTTCAAAGGGATTTCCACTCCATAATCTGCAAGTGAAACTTAAAGACTTAAGTTAAAACAACACAAAGCTGGAAATAAAACAGATTTTCCTTATTTAGTTAAAAAACATATAGAAAAATATGAAGGTTCGTCTACTTATTGAAATTATTCCCAAACCTTGACAGACCAAATGGCAATTTAGGGCTGCGCAGGTAACAAATTGCTGAATGGTGCCGTAGGGTCAGTTACTAGTCAGGCTACATTTGTATGTAGACACACAGGCTTTGAGAGGATACTTGCTGTATGTAGGCTACGCACTAGCTTTAAAGTTAACAAGCTGAGCGGCAAAATGCTTGCAGGCACTTGTACCTGCTTTTATTTAGATCTCAAACTCTTTCTGTCTGAAACCTTGCTAGCAACATCATGGTCTGATTACGGTAAGTCATAGAAATAATCCTACTGTCAAGTATCTCAGGAGCAGATGCATTTCTACATTCTTAGATTGAAAGCATTAAGGTAAATATGAAAATGAGAGAGAATTCAAGCATTCCATTAGAGATGATATGCAGCACGCAAATAGTAAACTTAAATTCAAATACATCAATAGCTCAAGTAATAGGAAAGAATAGAAAAAAGTAGCAGTCCATGACTCCAAATTTGAAGTTTGTTGCAGTAAATGTTAAGGGTTTGCATTATAAGTGGTATTTCTGCTATAACTGAGGGGTCTGCCATGTCATGTTGCACCTTTTTCATTAACGTACGATAAAGAGCTTTACGGCAGCACGTTATTACTGTATGAGAGCAATCAAACATTGTTTACATGAAAGCCAGACGTACACTTCAGTATGTTGCATAAATGTAGCAAACTGCAGTGAATATGCAACTGTACAATAGTTAATATAGATATTGTACAATAAAACCTACCTCTTAAGAAATTTGGGCTGATATGCATTTTCGCAATAGCTCTGGGATGCAAGGCTGGGAGGACGATCAGTGTTTATGACAGTGCTATTTTAAAAAGCTCCTGTAGGTGGAGCACTACTCTAACAGCCATTCTTAACATTAGAAAAGCCATCTCTGTGGTGTGACTTCAGGTTTCCTGTGACCCTGAATAGGAAAAGATTCATGGTTCGTGTAGAAGTGTTCCCATCACAATAAACAATTATTTGGTGATTATATTTATAAATGCTTTGAAGAATGCAATACTCGAAAAAAAAGAACAAGAAAAGGAGTCCTATTTGTGAAACTGAAGCCAAACATTATTTTTTTGTATTACCTTTTTCTTTTCGGACCACTTTAAGAGTCATTATTGCCCCAGCCAAGGTAGAATTGGTTCCCATTTGCCCGAAGACACCATTAATACGCAATTTAGTTTGAAGCCAAATTGAGGGAAGCATTCTCCATCTAAAAAAAGCTTTTGTTTTTGTGTCTCTTTTCTTCCTTTGACAGCATACTTTCCCTATCTGCAGGCTATTATTAGGAGCTGCATTAAGTCTGTCTGAAGGGAATTGATTTGAGCTCCATTCATCTGCTTTGTCTCATTTGTACACACTTATTCACAGAGCAGGGGCAGAGGGGTTTTCTGGGACATTCTGGTACTGCTGTTGGCAACCTTGTAAAAAACAACAGGAGTTTTGAACAGGCAAGGCTAAGGTGTTAATGAGTATATAGACCTAGAAACTAGCTCATTTCAGTTTGGAAAATTCAAAGTATAGTTACAAAAAAACTAATGTTGCTTTATTCTCAATAATATGTGTACACAAAAGTTGCCTGTTAGATGCATTTTTTTCTGACACAGTAGGAAGCTGGAAGAGAAGCAAATAATCAGGCTTTAAAGAGCATGTGTATACAAAGGCATAAATGCAATGCGTTGTTGTTAAAGACTGTTTTGTCTCTAAGGGGGGAAGCCAACTAAATGCTGGTTCTGTTCAAAGTTTAATGTAAAACATGCGATTGCTTTGCATATTTTCGACAGAAAACATCAGTTTTTTAAAAGAACAAATCTCATCTTATTCAATTTTCCCCCAAAAAAGTTTTTCTTGTTAATAGGGATGGCCAACCTCCAACATTTAAACACTTACAGCACCTTGTGTATATGTCTTCATACTTCTTGATTTTTTTTTTTCCTTTTACCTTTGTGTCATATTACCAGAGACTTTAATGCATTACGCATCTCCACACACCTAAAGGCATAGGTGTGTATAAAGAGTGCATAGAACAAGACATTTCCACATATAAAAAAAAAAAGGTTTGTCGCACTGTGGGCGGGAACGTTTTTGTGAATTTGTACAGTATTTTACAAAAAATGAAAAAGTTTGATAATGAATACATTTCCAAGACTCTGCCTGAGCTAGAACTATTTCAATCAAAAAGTGCATAACTTGAGCAGATAGCTACTGCTTGATTCATGGCATTGCTCAGTAATGCTGATATATAGTTGATAAAAGGGTTTGTCATGTCTCCTTTTACTTGGAATTCTACAGTTCCTGTTTAAATAGTATAACATTTCTCTAATTCCCTAAAATCCAATAACCCTTTTGTCTTATGGTCTAGTTTTATCAGTTTGAATTATGAACGTTGCTTTGTTTACATTCTGATATTTATTCAAATATAATGCAGTTTGAGGAACATTATTTGTTTCTATATACATAGTGTAGAAGCACTGCACCCAGTGGGACTTCTTCAAACCCACACGATCAAACCCTCAAAGCTGTTCTGCACTGTGAAGCCAATCTCATAAAATATGACTTTTGCTTTTCTGTTAAGGGAATTTACTTATATTTCATGTGCTCAGAGACCAAAGGAAACTGAAAGCTGCCTTTTGATTTTTGTTTTTTCTGGATCATCTGTTTTATCCTGCTTCTATCTTCCCTGCTAAGGATTTCAGACCACATGCAAGCACACTAGTTGCTCAGGGGAAAAATTGCATCAAGAAATAAAGTTTATCATGTGTTGAAGATGAGAATTCATATTTTTGCTAAAGTTATTATAAAAAAAATCAGAGATTGAACTAAAAAAACAAGAGGAAAGGGGAAACCAGAGAAGCATATGATGCTTGGATATTTAGATGAAGGAAATTGGAATAAATGGAATGATATAGAGAGGGAAGCACATGAGTAATGAGTCTAATTATGTTTTGGATGTCGTACAGAGCTGCTGCAGGTATGATGGATTCCTCCTCTTGCTGCACAACTGAAGGACATACTGTAGCTCTAGTTACCACAGCAGTCTCTGTACCATTTTGTACCTAAATGCATAAAGGTCTTTGGGCTGTATCTGTATCTGGCTGTGCTGGATTTTAAATTCCATTTACTGAGTAATGATTTGTTAAATGTATGAATCCTGAGGGTTAATTGTGATAAAATACCACCCATAAAAATTTAATAAACTGAAAAAAAAAAGAAAAATATGGTTTGTTTCTGTTGCCATCATGCTTAGTTTTGCATAGTATAAGGCTATATGGCTAAACAGTTCACAAATAGCTCCATCATTTATATAAATCATACAGTCGTTGTGCAAGCTCAAACATAATTGATGATTTAGTTGGTGGTAAATGTCACACATATTTTTCTTGTGTTTAACAACCATGTCTAGATGACAAAACACTATCATTTACATATTTGTCTTCTGCAAGATTTGTGGCTAGGATTCCTTTTCGACCTGCCATATAACAGCAGTATTTTATGGCATTTAAAAAGTCTAATTCAATTCAATAATTTCAATTCAAATATATTTCATTTATCCCAAGGGAAATTAAATGTTGTAATAACTTCTTGGCTTTTTTTCCACAATCCTCCCTATTGAGCAGTTTTGTTTTGTTATTGTGGTTCTGTAAGCAGGTTTATATCAGATTACCAGGACCTACAGTGTTAGTCAGAGGTACATTGAATATCTGGATGAAATTCATATTAATTTTCAATTAAAATTTTAAATAACTTTTTTCCCCGAATAAACTAATGTTACATGACATAGCCTGAACAATAAAGAAATTATAATGATCTAAATGCACATAACATACATGTATAAACCCCCTTATACTATCATGTGGATAAATGTCCTTTAGCAAGCTGCAGAGAAACCACACATTTCTTTATAGTTATCAACATGGGCTAGTTGCCAAATATTTGATAAGATAGTTGAACCATTTATTCTGTACAACTGATAAATGTATATCAATTTATTTACTGCAATAGATCTGGTTCTATGCCTACTACAGTAGATTTAAGGTTAGATCCATTCTAGAATCTTAATTTTCCCGTGATTTATTTACTCTAGATCTGGTTCATTTTTAAGTTTTATCTGACCCAAACACTCCCCTAAAATGAATATAATGTGTTGGAAAAAATCTTTAAAAATAACCCAGGTCTGTCATATAGTAGAAGACTCTGAAACACTAGTCTCACTATAAAATGAGTTTCACGGACTGAAAGATTCTAGCAGAGAAAGAAATATCAGCTCCAAAATTGACACCTTCAAGCGGAAGGAAAATAGGCAGCTCCATCTATGAGTAATTTATTCTCTTTAACGTATAAAACAAAATCGAGAATTGAGTTATTTGATCAAAATTATAAAACTAATGCTTGGAGCTGTCAAAGGGGCCCTTTTTTCAAGGGTCAGGTAAGGTGGTAGCATCATGCTGAGTTTGCACACATCAGATAAATTAATCAGGGATAAGTTTCAAATTCTTCTGTTTGAAAAAAATAGAAAATGATCCCAAAAACATATTAAACATTTATGGCAAAGCCTGAAATTAACTTTAGTGTTTTGTCTATTATAGCGTTTAAGTATATTTATTAGTTCTGTTCTGGAAACCTTTTAATTAAGCTTGCTGAAAGTTGCTAAATAGCATTTATACATACTGTATATTTATGAGGTTGTATGTATATATCTTATCCGTATGAATCATTTAGACAAAACATTTAGGTTTATGGATTACAGAAAACTACCATAAATGTAGACTTGAGTACCCACATTTGTTTTCACTGATGACTGCTTACTGACGTTACACTCTATATAATCTTCTCACCCTAATTAAAAAAGGATTAATTGCATCATTAAAAACCAAAACACTGGAGATCAGGGTATAAAAACCTTTGAATGGTACTGTTACATTATTAAGAATCCACGCTGATATTCAGTGCAAGGTAGGATATATATCAAAATTGCAAGGAAAACTCTCAACTAATTCCTTACTTCTTACTCGCAGGACGAGCATTGCTGCGCCTGAATGGGGAGAAGCTAGAGCGGATGGGAATTGTGCAGGACTCTCTGAGGCAGGAAGTCCTCCAACAAGTCCTTCAGCTGCAGGTCAGAGAAGAGGTTCGTAACCTGCAGCTCCTAAGCAGAAGTAAGTGACCATATAGCTTTCTACTCTGGTTGTTGTATTTTGTTTCTTTTGGGGGAGGGAATAATAAAGAGACAGAAATCGGATTAAGATTGTTCAAATGAGAGGAGACAGTCAAGGACCATGCATTCCTGCTGTGACATATGTGAAGTGGGCCACACAAAGCAGCTGTTTGGGGTTTTATTGATGGGATCTCAGGATTTGCTGCATGTTTACTCATCGACCGGTTTTGTTACCAAGCCATTTAGAAAAAAGCTCAGATTATCTCTGAAGGATTAACTTTATGTAAGATGATTCTTCTAAACACTGCATGTGTCTTTTACGTTTTAATGATTGTGAATTGTTGTTTTTTTGGCAGAAACACTGTATCATAAAATGCATTGATAAGAGCAATGCTTGTTTTGATCATTTTGTATTCAGAGGATACCACCCTCAGGTCTCCATCAGGTACTATAAAATTCCAAATCCTGACCTAAATTGAGCAGCAGTAAGATTCTTGCTGAGTACATGCTTAGAATCAGAAGAGAACAGCAGTATATTACGTTAACTGCAGTGAGCTTCCAGCTTTTTTCTTCACTGGAAGTATGAAAAAATTGGAAAGAAATCCCATAAATGCTCTTCCTTGTGCTAAGTTGGAGTGTGGTCTGCTCTTAAAATTATATTGAAAGTTTAAATATTTGATCAGGTGCTGATGCTGCAAACACCTAATGAAGTAATTCAGATTATGCTAACTCAGGGCATGTTTGTAGTTTCACTTCCCAGCCTGCGTGCTGGTGATGCTTAGTGTCTGCATCTTTCACAGACTGCTTTAAGCCAAAAAAAACTCGATTTATACAATAATGTGCAGTGAACAGAAAACACATTAAATATTATACAGAAATGCCCAATATTTCAAAACTGATGCAAATAAATGATCTAATTTAACCCCCATTTGTCAGGAAGTTCAATGTCAACTCTAGAACAAAAAAGGAATTTTCTGTCAATTACTTAAGGGTCTAGGCTTTAAAGGTTCAAGGGTCGTACTGCTTGCATCTGACTGCAAGCTCTGATGCATTTTTTCTCCTACAACGCAGACCATTCTGCATATAGATAGGGTCCTGCTATCCTTAAAATAAGGAGAACCTGATCTGTGAAAGACTGTTCTCCATGTTTTACCTCTGTGCTTTTTGAAAAGTAAAGAAATCAGAGCTGCAGTCATTGTCAGACATCTGCAGCAGTTGTCAATCAGAATAAAGGTGGCACCCCATCTTATTGCAAACCTGCACACCATGCTGTTAAAATTGAACAGGGAAAGGATTTTTTAGATAAATGTAATGGAGCACAAATCATTTTATCAAACCTGGAAATGGTTACAGCTGGGGCTCACAAAATAAGCTTTTCCAGGTTTGACGATTGATATTATTCCTTTAACCTTAACTTTCATAGATTTCATCTTTTTATTTATTTATTAGCACCTAGATTAATTATTGGTAAATAGCATATAGACATATTTTTACACATATAAATAATATTAATACATACTGCTGTCTATATTGTCATTTTAATTTTTACTTTTGTATTTTCATCACATCTAAATCTATAGCTTTAAGCTTCATCTGTCTTTTACAGACACCTTACTCCCCACAACTGACTCACAGCACAGCACTCACAGTTTCCTCATTCAGACCCAAGGTTTTGGGGTATGCTAAAGTGATTTTGAAGAGACGCACCAACAATTCGGCCACAGATTGGAATCAGAAAGTTACCAAACTATATTCAGCCAGTTTAAACAAGAAAATATTGTATTTTGATTTTTGTTATGTTTGATGCACTTGCTTAACAAAATAAAGGTTATCCTAATTAACCTAAGTGATACTCCAGTACAAATACTGTCAGCTCTTAGAATAAACTCTCTTAAAACGCCCCAATTCTGCCAAATAAACTGCAAAAGTTTAGAATAAATTGTTAAGATTTGCTGTCAGTGTATCAACCTCCCAGACTACTCAGGTCTTCTAGTTCCAGCCTCTGTCCACCCAGAACTAGAACCAAACATGGAGAAGCAGCATTTAGTTCCTATGCTCCACTTTTCTGGAACAAACTCCCGTAAGACAGTAAAAGTGCTGAAAGCCTGAGTTCTTGTAACTCAAAGTTAAAAACCCATTTGTGTAAAACTGCCTTTGAGTGTTAAAGTTGAACTGTTAACTGTTTTATTAGTTTTACTACCTGCTTTTACCATGTTTTTATCTTTACTTGCTTTTATTTTTCTTATATTTGATGTTTAATTCATGTAAAACACTTCGAATTTTCTCTGTACTGAATTGTGGTATGTAAATAATCTTGCTTTGCATTGCCTTATTCAAATATACATGACACTTTTAAAAGTCCCTCCTTTTATTTTTGGATTCAAAGCTGTTGCCAGTTTACAGGAATCTGCAGCACTTGTTTTTTTGTTTTGTTTTTTTCTGTATTGTGTTTATTTTAACAAATAAGGAAAAATAAAAATCTGTTTTAACCTAGAAAAAACAGATTTGTGCATTCATTGTGATTTGCAAACAAATCCACACCCAATGTTCCATGCAGCCGTCTGTACAGACCAGGTTCAAATTTTAATTTCTAATGCACTGTGGATTTATATGTCCATTACATATATAAAAACATTCCCCCCCTTTTTTAAATACATTTTTACAAAGTCAAATTCACCCCTTTTCGTCCAATTTAATTGAGTTAATGTGCACAAATCTCGGAATTGAACATTTCATAGCGCAATGAATGCTTTTGATGACCTTCAAATCAGCCAAGCATGTTAGGCAGAATTAAGCTCAAAGATGCGAGACAACTAAATGGTAAGGAAAGAGTATTAAACTGCTGTCAGACACATTCTTTAATTAGGCAGTGCAGACATAATTTCTCAGTTCATGAGGCTTTGACTCTGAGCTTTGAGGGCAGGCTAATTAGGAGACCTCATATAATGCATGGTTTTCTCAAGTTTGGAGTAAATTGAAAAGGTGATAAAGGTATCGGGTATTTTGGGAGGCCCTGGATGGAAAGGTGATGTTGAATATTCACGGTTTTTATTAAAGAAATTTTAATGAGCCAACAAGTTAAAGTTGATGAAGGTGAAGGTTGAATTAGGTCAGAGATTCAGGTTTAAACTTGTTAAAAAATAGTATTACGAATTACTTCCTGTTTATTTTATCCATCCAATCACAAAGAATCATAATATGCTTGTTTTTTAGATTAAATTTCTATTTTCATTCATATTCTGATAATCATATTGGGTGGATGGTATGCCGGGCCATGCACAACGACATTAGCAGTAAATTATACATAGAATGTAATTATTCATAAAATAAATTGCAAATAATGTTTGCACATGCAAAACTTTTAATTTCATTGGGTTGTCTGAAATAAAGTCTTTCAGTCATCCATTCTAAGATACTTTGGCAGTTTTCAGTAATGTTTCTGATCTGAGGGTGACATCACTGATCCGCTGCAGTGCCTTAGTTTCTACTTGTAGTCATACCATGGCTTTAATGACAAACACAGTGGTATTATACCATTGTGTTAAATTTACACATATTGGCTGATCTGAGTTCATCTAGCACCCATCCGTTTATTTTTAGTCGAATTGATTACTGCAACGGTGTTTTCACAGGTCTGCCTAAAAAGTGAATCAGACAGCTGCAGCTGATCCAGAACGCTGCTGCCCGTGTCCTCACTAAGACTAAGAAAGTAGAGCACATGACCCCGGTTCTAAAGTCCTTACACTGGCTCCCTGTATCTCAGAGAAAATACTTTAAAATACTTCTGTTAGTCTATAAATCTCTGGATGGCTTAGGACCTAAATACATCACAGACTTGCTATCAGTGTATCAACTCTTCAGACCACTCAGGTCTTCTGGCTCCAGCCTGCTCTGCATACCTAGAACCAGAACTAAACCCGGAGAAGCAGCATTTAGTTCCTGTGCTCCACTTTTCTGGAACAAACTTCCAGAACACTGTAAATGCCTGAGTTCCTTTAAATCAAGACTAAAAACACATTTGTAAACCTGCCAAATCAGCTTTGGAAAAAATGTTAACAAGGGATAGTTTAAAGGCAGGTATTATATCAGAGTTCTATCACTCACTGATGTTGCATATATCTGAGGGATCTCATGACAGACTTAATGCTTGGAAGGGTGATTTACAGTTAGAGTTATCTGGGGAAGAGTGGCAAACAGCATGCAAATTGGCCCATACCAGCTCTATCAACACTGCACTGAAAATGATCCAATTTAAATGGTTAATGCGGGTTTATGTAACACCAGTGGACCTCAACAGATATAATGGGGAAATACCTGATGTATGTCCAAAGTGTACAGTGGATAGAGGAACTTGGATTCATTGTGTGTGGTACTGTAGGAATATTATATTGTTTTGGAAAGAGGTAAAAGATGCAATTGAGGAAATTATTTCCAAACAAATAATTATGGATCCGAAGCTGTTTGTGTTTGGACTAAGCCCAGACAAACATAATTACACTAAAAACGAATTAATTTTTATAAACTTAGGTCTGCTTAATGCAAAAAGATGTATATCACTTTTCTGGGGGAAGTCCCATACACCGACTATAAAACTGTGGTTGCAGCAGATGGCATCTACCCTCCCTCTGGAAAAGATTACATATGTATTAAAGGGTAAACAGAATCTGTTTGAATCCATATGGAATCCCTTTATTAGGTACACTATATTGCCAAAAGTATTTGCTCACCCATCCAAATTATTGGAATCAGGTGTTCCAATCACTTCCATGGCCACAGGTGTATAAATTCAAGCACCTAGGCATGCAGACTGTTTTTACAAACATTTGTGAAAGAATGGGTCGCTCTCAGGAGCTCAGTGAATTCCAGCGTGGAACTGTGATAGGATGCCACCTGTGCAACAAATCCAGTCGTGAAATTTCCTCGCTCCTAAATATTCCACAGTCAACTGTCAGCTGTATTATAAGAAAATGGAAGTGTTTGGGAACGACAGCAACTCAGCCA